AGGAGTTAGTGCTTCATGCTTTCATAATGCAGCTTCATAAATCCACCTGATAAACACAAAAAGGCTTATGTGACCCTTTCAGTGGCAGGGGGGATGAAGTCTAATATCTTAGTTTGCAGCTGGGATCATCATCTCCTGTGTGTTTACAGATTTTACCATAACCTGAGCCCAATCCAGTGGCTGCCCAAAGGTCCTGTTTCAGCAGATGTGCCCAACAGGAGCAGTGGTGCTTCATTATATGAGATTTCACATTGCTGGCCCACAATACAAGACAAGTCTTTGACCTCTGGTGCCCACGTTTTGCTCAGGTAAGGTTTGTGAAAACATTGAGAACTGTACTGTTAGGTGCTTGGCTAATCAGTTGGCTCATTTCTGTGTGGTTTTGGGGCAATTTGCCCATCACAGCCCTGCACACATGCGGGCACTGTACTGGAGTGGGGATGGAACAAGGAGAGCTTCTGCAGAGACAATCAACTTCTCGTGACTTGTTCCAGCTGTGGCTGAGGGCTTCATCCCAGCTGGAGACCCAGGGTGGACTCGGCAATGTCAGCCAGAGCATGCTCCATAGCTGGCCAGCAGTGAAAAAGAAACTTGCTCTGACGCCTCTTTGTCAGGGAGGTTATTTTAAATTTGAGTTTACTGGGCTTGTAGGCATTGTTTATACCTTGAGCAGTGTAGGAAACTCTGCAGAAAGAAATGCTGCTCCTGAGAGTGTGAGGTGCTTCAGTCATTCAGGCCAACATTTCTATCATATCAGGACACTGAATCTTCCTCTGAATTTCTAGAGGGAGGCTTTCCACCAGCACTGGGAAATACCTTGGTGGGTGGGAAGTGTCCTACCCCATCCTTCCAGAGGTGTTACTACCCTAAGGGACTTTAAGTTACTCCAGTCAGAGAGCTCTGGAGAAGGGTTATGTTTGTGGTATGCAAGCCCAGGTTGCCATGGATTTCTGGCTGCTGTGATAGATTTTCTGTTTCCCTAAGGAACCTGTAGTAGTGGGCAATGTGGTGATAAGTGGGAAAGACTCTGTGTTCCCTCAGTGGGAAGCAAGCTGCAGGTCTGGGGCAGAAAACCCCAGGGAGCACCCCTGGTTGAGGGCACCCCATGTTCTCAAAGGGTGTCTCTGTTTTTCCTACCTCTGCCTGCAGGAAAGGTCAGTGGGGTGTTGAAGCAGGTTCACCTCAAGGGCACATTTTTTTTAAATAAAAAACTCTACAGAAGGAAGTGTGTTCATGTCAGTGATGCTTATTTTTCTCTGAAGGAAAAGACATTTTTATTGTACATTGTAGTTAGTTATTTACTATGTAATTAGTGGGTCTAGTTAATCTTGCATGTTTCATTCCTTCAGGGACTGGATGTCAAAGACAACTTCAGAAAAATTTGACAGCTCTAGTTTTCCTGCAACTTTGATAAAATGCTATCAGCAGAATATTTCCCTAAACTTGTCTCCAATCTGTATAGCCTTGATATTGTTCTTAGTTTCACAGGAGAAATGAACCTTAGCTTCTGTTCCTTGACCTTTGCAGGGTGATAGCTATACAGAAAATGCTGTGTTCTCTCTGGGTCACGTGAGAAGCCTCTGGCATAAGCTTGTGAGAGCTGCTGTGGGCAGCAGAAGGTTGCCCAGTTGCTTGCCTAACTTCCAGCTGTGGATGCTGTACATCTACAAAGGGCAATTGCACCTTGAGCTGAGGCCAGTGTGCTTCTTTTGTATCAAAGTTTGCATTTTAAATTATTTCATTTGGTAGGTGGTGCTCAAGTTCTAATGTTACCACTTTAAACTGCACAATTGGTGGCATGCACTAGTCCTCCATCCTACATAATGAATATGAAGATTTAATACAGGAGATGGTTAGAAAAGTGGAAGGTAAGAAATATGGTGCTCAGGAATAGCCAAGGATTGATGAAAGAGCCCAAGACACTTATGAATGCACAGAAAGGCTGGTGTGAAAGCCTGGCTCCCCTAGGACACTCACTGGGGTGTCCTGAGTGTTCCAGCCCAAGGGAGCACCCCAAGTGGGCATGGAGGACAGCAGCATAGCTGAGGTGGGCACCTGGAACCACCTCCCAAGGGATGTTTGAAGCCTGGATAGTCCTGGACTTCTGGCCAAGCTCTTGTGATCCACAGTTTCTCCATCAGTGGAGAAATCCTAAATAAGTATCTGTGTGTTCAGCAGCACTTGGATATGGGGACCTGTGTGTTTACAGGGTGTGAGTGCTCACTGCTGTGGCTATGCCACTGCTTTTTAGTTTGGATTTGTGCACTCCATTTACTTTGTTTCCCTTTTCTTCAACTTGTACTTGTTGTGACCAGACCCTGATTCAGTCTGAAGAGGCAGGATGTGCAGAGTTTATGGTCTTTACTTGCAAGGGAAGAGAGCTGGACTTATTTCCTTGCTTAGCATCCTGTTGTAAGACACACGCAAACCAATTTCTGCCTCTCTTCTACCATCCTGCTAAAGCCCTATTACTGCCTGCCTGCACTGAGCTGTTGGCTTTTCTGCATGGTGCAGGTGTGCCACAAAAAGTTCAAGAGGACTGTTGAAACACCTCTGCTTGTGTACTTTACCCATCTGCCATCTTTGGCAGCTCCTCAGGCCCATGTGGGCTGAGGTCTGTCTAGAACAGCAGCCTCTGGGTGGCTGGATCCCAGTCTGGGTGCCAAACATGTTCCTATTCCTCATAAATGTTTTGCTGAGTTTCTGGGCTGGTAGAAATCTCGTGTATCAGGCACTGCTGTGTTATTGGTATTCCTGTGGTCAGCCCCTGTGCTTGAGGCTTGTCCAGGCACCCAGGCAAATGGCAAGCCAAACCCAGCAGTGCAGTGCTTTTGTCTCGCTTTAATTAATTAGACTAGGACACCATTATTAGCAGCATGTTTTTGTTTCCATTTGTTCATTCTGACAGCAACCAAAGGAGGCCATTATTTCTGCAAGAGGATGTTTCAGCAAGTGTTATGGTAAATAAAGCTAACAGGATCAGTGCAAAGGAGAGGATCACGTTCTCTTAAGGACAGCAATCGATAATCAGGCTGTTTCATGCCAAATCCTTCCAAGAGGCACGCTAGTGAGCTCACACTCAGATCAGCCTTTAATCTTGGAGGATTACTGACCTCTTTACTGGCTGATGTATTTCCCACGGTGTACCTGCTCTGTAGCACAGGTCTCCCTGTAAGACGTGCGGCAATTCTTTCAGCGCCCTCAGACACAAAGGAAAGAAGTTGATGGCACCCACCTGCCCCTTTGGGCCAAGACATTTCTGTTTGGATCAGGCTAAAGATGGAAGGCCAGGTCTGGGTTTGACAATGAATAATGTTTCACAGCCTTCCCTGCTCCATGAGCAGCAACAGCGCTGAGCACACCATAGGGTCCTAGAAACTGTGTGCTCCTCTGGCCCCTAAGGCAGGGACAGCAGTCTCAGTTTTAACTTTCTTGGCTGTAAGCAACATTATTACTGGAAGTAAAATGACACTGGAGACCTGTTCTTCATGCTGACAAATAAAACACTTCAGCAATGTGATGTCAGTTAAAACATCTTAACATTTTTTTGTGCAACCCTGGAGAAAAATGACAAGACGTACACTGCAGGGTGCTCATTCTTGAGATCTCCAGTGGTTTTTATACTCCTCATTTTAGTGTAAGACTTTTGATCTTTGCAGTTTGGCACAAAGGTGTGGGCATTAGGTGAGCTACTCAGTTTTATTTTATAGAAAAAAATAAGTTTGTCACCCTCAAGGATTTGCAGAAAAGTTTGAAAATGTGATCATAAACATCAGGAAACCAGAGTGCAAGTAGGAGAAGTGCAAATAGGAAAAGAAATGTTTATAATTTTCTTTAAAAAACAGAACAAAATGCCTTGCAATTTTAAAGCTGTGATTCTCTGGAGCCTGGTGCGTAATTTTTGAGTATGTGAGGTTGGCAGTGCTGGAAAGGATGCTTTTCTCTCCCCAGATGATGTTTTTCTGCTGGGAATTTTAATTACCAGCTTTATCTGTTCCTGCACCTTTTTCTTGGCTGGCTTCTCCTGCAGCTGAGGAACCTCCCACATCTCTGGGGGCTTGGACGGGCAGCCAGAGGTGGTGGCAGTGGCCAGGATTGCCCCAGTGGCAGAGGCTGGGCTGCCCTGCTTAGTTGTGTCTGGCCACATCCTTCAGACCTGCTGGGCAGCAAAGCCTGTCCAAGGTTTTTCAGCCCTCTCTCCTGGTGGGGAGAGTCAGGGGAGCTCACCCTGGGGAGCTCA